CTCCGACTCTGCTGGGGTGCAGGCCATCAGTGCGAAAAAGCCTAGGACGCTCCCAGAAAAGATTCCAATTATTAACAAAGAGCAGTTTCTGTTCTTAACACCATGACAATAACCATTCATTTAAAGCAAAAAGTCTACTGAACCTTTCATGTCCTCGTCGATACGTAGGAAGCGGTCCTGACACGATGATCGTCGTCACGGGCGATGTACTGCGCACCGTCTCGATCAGGCTCCTGAAGTCCCTCTTCAGTGTTTCCGTCTGCCGCAGCTTGGTGTCGTTAACCCCGGCATGAAGCACGACCACTCCAGGGCTCTCGTCGCCCTTCAGGATCGCGGGTATCTGGGCAGAAACATCGAGAACACGAGCACCAGGGAAACAGTGGGTGTGCACTTTACCTTCAGCTATCGTAGCACGGACGTGCCGGACGATGGAGTCTCCGACGGTCACAGCGTCGCATTCCATCTCGTGGAGGGGAGTGAAGCAGTTCCGGGTGGAGATCTCGAAGACCGGAGGTAGCGGAGGGGGAGAGGTTGTCGTACGGGGCCTGGCTTGCATATTCCGCTGCAGGTGCACCCAGGGTCCGTGGTATCCTCCTGTGTTCTCACCTCAAACGGGTAGAGGCACTGAGAGGCCCCGGTTTAGTGTCGGCTTGCTAAAACCGCTCCAGAGAGTCCGTACTGTAGACCCTGTCAAGCTCCTCCATCCCCTCGGCAGCCAGACGTGGCGGAACGTCCGGCGCCAGACCCTCATTCGAGGAATCCGTGAGAACCGGTAGAGGGCTGGGTTCCATATGTGTAAAGTCCACTGTATAGCCTCAGAGCCCGTGTTTCCCCGGCAGACTTCTGCCATTTCCATTAGGGTTACAATCGCCTCTAATCTTCCATATGCACCTAAATGGATGTCATATGTGTAAGTGCTTCCGAAACCTCTTTCGGGAAGGATGGGGCTTCCGCAACGTTCCTGTTCCAAGTGGAACGGGTACGTTTTCCCAGTGTTATCCAATCTCACTGAGTGGGTAGTGCTACGATAACGTCTCGGTTACATATGTAACCCTCGTTCCCTGAAGGAGGGAACGGAGACGTCACGTCCCGTCACCACGGCTGCTGTACCCCCGCTGAGCGGTCGGGTCACCGGCTCGGCTCCTCAGCAAAAACCTGGTATGCGTTGGATTGGCTGGCTTTTTATGCTGATCAGTGATCAGTGGCAGCTGGATGCAATTAATGCATGCCAATGTCCATTGGCTCGTTTAGTTTACTCTCGAAGTAGATTGGTCTCTCGAAGCAAGATCCCAATTTGTCGGTCACCGACGTGACATCTCCGTTCCCTCCTTCAGGGAACGAGGGTTACATACGTAACCGAGACGTTATTTTAAAGGAATAGTTCACCCAAAGTGAAAATGTACTCACCCTCAGGCCATCCAATATGTAGATGATTTTGTTTCTTCATCAGAACAGATTTGGAGAAATGTAGCATTGGTGAGCAAGAAATGGGCAAGATCCTCTGCAGTGAATGGGTGCCGTCAGAATGAGGGTCCAAACAGCTGATAAAAACATAATAATAATCCACACGACTACAGTGCATCAATTAATGTGTTGTGAAGCGAAAAGCTGCATGTTTGTAAGAAACAAATCAATCATCAGGTGTTTTAACGTTAAACCTTCCTTTCTGACCAAAAATACAAATTCACTACGGAAGATCCATTGTTGACCAAGTGATGTAATGCTAAATATTTCCAAGATTATATCCAAATTTAATCACTTCACTGAAAGGTTCTTTAGGAAACCCAAAATGTTTTTTTAAGTTTCATTGTTATGATAACCCTCTTTTTGAACCTTTATTTTTAAGAGTGACCATGGTTTAAATGCAGTTTAAAGGTGTTATATATGTATTTCAATATGTTTGTTGTGTGCTGCTGAATTTAGAGGGCTTTGAGTGATATCCAGACTACAGAAAACCCTCCACGCAGCCCCAGGAGCCCTCACACGACCTCTCCTGTAGCCTGGTGAAGAAACCACCCAACATGAGGCAAACATACTCATACAAGCAAATACATACAGACTTACAGTACATAAATGTTCACTTACATACTGTCCACTCCTATGCCTGTCCTGTATAAATTTAGTAATAGCCTTATGGTAATTCAAGGACATGTGTACAGTAGCAATCTAATGCACAAGCACCAGGGTCCTGGCGAGTTATAAAGGTGAACTCTCAGGCACAGATTGGACAGGAAAGCTTCTGTAGTAGAGCAAAAGGTACAGGGAAAGATTATAAATTGCTTTAAAACATTTGATCAGATTTGGTCTAGCACGTTATTTACAGGATGGACTGTGTGATTGTTCTTGGCACTCAAAAACCAAGAATGGAGTTAAAAGTTGGGGCAAAATTGATTGGGGATTTTGTAAATCATAATAAGCGCAGTTCGATAAGATATTTAACGTAGAATGTAATTAGGACTGTGAATGTCAGATCTTGACTGACTTGATATTTTAATGAAGTTGTTGTTTAGGAGAAGTGCTTTAACAATGTGTCTTAATTCTGCTTAAATGTATTTAAACAACCTGGGTTGGAGTTGTTAGTTGGTCATTGTACTGTAAACCAATATTTTGATGAATTAATGTCTTAAATGATAAAAAGTAATTCCTCATACACAGAATGTATAAGTGCAAAGTGCATAGATCAAGATATATTATTGTACAAGAGATGCGGTTCTTATATTATTGCTTTACTAGCTATGGAAAACAATGATGAGCTAGATTATGACTTCATAATATGCATTTGGTATTTTTAAATATTAACTTTTAATTAACATTTAACTTTTGTGCTGCTCTTAATTCCTTATTATCATAGTGAATCATATGATTCTTGTATCATTCTGTCCATTGCACTGAGTTATAATGAATGTTTAAAGGATTATATGGAACTTTCTGTATGATTTGTAAATAAAAATAAAAATTACACATATGATTGAGCCTTTATCGAAGTGTTGACTGGTTTTCCAGGTGTAAAAATCTTTATATAGTAGGCCTAATGTTTATCATGTGAACTCATCTTTGCCTTTTTTTTTTTATCACCACTGAATGTACAAGGAGCTTGTAATATGAAAAAAGAAAATGTATGTATGATCATAGCACATTTCCTAGCTGTCATTATTGTTATTTATAATTTATGGCTCATTTTTTCAATGTCAGTAAAGTTTGCTACATGCTTTGTATTTTACTTGTTGTTTTTAATTCTTTTATTTTTAGGACATGTTTCACAATGTTAATAGCTAATTTCATGTTCTCATCATGGATGGGATGATGGCCCAAAGAAAAAAATGAACGACCTGAACTTGAAAGTGCCATAAGTCGAATATCTGGTGATATAGTAAATGCAAAAAATACACAAACTACTAAAGTTATGAAGTAACTCTGTATAAGGGATGTTGCAACATTGTTCTGTTGTCATTACTGTTTTGGTAATAAAATGCCCTTACATTTTAACCAGCGTGAAGTGTTACATGAAGGCGAGTGGAGTTTGATCCCTTTGATCTCTATGCTGCTGAGAGAAACTGAGGAGGCCCTACTGTCCTATTTAAATGGACCATTTATTAAGTTAAAGACCTCCGTCTGTTTCTGACCCGTTATTTAGGTGAGTCTTTAACTTTTGTTCCTCTATTTCTCTTTATTCGTTTATGTAATGGCTAGATGTGTATAAGAAATGTTGAGATCTGTGATTCAGCTTTCTTCGGTTCTTCAGGCTGAGAAAGCACTTTACGTTATGTTAGTGTGCTTGTTGGTTTTATTTTTGATGGGTGTGAATGATATTTAATGTGCATATGTGAACATTAATGGGTATTAATTAGTATCACTAAGAATTAGAATTGACTAATGGACTACTACTAACAAATATATTTTTTAAATTTTCTTGCAAACACCTTGATCAACTTTAAAAACAACTTTATATACTATATACTGCACAATACAGAGTTTAGATTTTTGTTTAGGTTGCTGTTATTGCACTTTTACTTGCCCATTTAAAGTAAAACTGACTAAATCAGTAAAATTATGTTTTGTTATTTAGTATACATACTTGCGTATTAATTAGTATGGGTAACTAGTATTAGCACTGACCGTTTGTGATTTTCAGGTTTAGGCTAAAGGTCACATTTTACAATGATAATTTTTAGGCCTTGTTCTTTTTAAAACTAGTTTTAAACGTTTCTAAATTACACTTTAGAAATGCAATCTTAACCAAACGTTTAATTCGGTATTATGAACAGTTACTTGAAAAGTCATGGAAATTCACTGGTCAAAAGTAGTGGGAAACCTTTATATTTTCAGATATTTTGAGGCAGAAGATAATACAAATGCTTTTACAAACTTCAATACTAAAATAAATCTTTACACCTTAATGAAACCTGAAAAATATTTATCATGCAGGCTGCTGTAAGCACACTCTCAGAAAAAAAGGTACAAAAGCTGTCACTGGGGCAGTGTCTTTTCAAAAGGTACACTTTTGTACCTTTTAGGTACTGATATGTACACTTTAGGTGCTAATATGTACCTTTAAGTAACCAATATGGACTGTTTAGGTACAAAGGTGTGCCTTTTGAAAAGGTACCGCCCCAGTGGCAGCTTTTGTACCTTTTTTTTCTGAGAGTGCATTTTTGCATATATTTCTCACTTCTATCAAGAGTAAAATTGATTAAATCCAGTAAATCTGTGAGGAAATATGTTTTTTGTATGGTTTCTTTATCAGATTTGGATTTGAAATCAGAAAATGCGAGTATAATGCCATTTCTGTTTGAGTTTTTGCGAAACATCTTCCTAGTGGTCCTATCTTATTTTTTAAGTTTTTTATAAATTTTTATTTACAGTATCTGTTTTAGTTTATTTAGTTTTAGTTATTTTAGTACTTCGTTTAAAGCTGCAGTTCGTAAGTTTTGCCTCTTTGTCGCCATCTCTGTTTGAAAACCTGGAATTGCAGCTGTGTGCGAAATTATCTAG